ATAAGCGAATGAACGAATGACTGACTGACTGACTGAATGACTATTTGACTGACTAACTGACAAACCCCCCCAAAAAACCCCTTCCCTGTTGTTTTGGGGGTCCCAACGAAACCCACGTTTTCGTGCCAACTTCAACTTGCAAAATGTTTGATTTATGCCTTTGAATTGTTGTAAATTGCCAGCGAAACCCACCAACCCCACTCCAAAAACCCCTTTTTGAACGACGCCCCTACCTCCCCCCGGCAATTGACAAATAATGCAAAAATTCTGGGGAAATTACCTGCGATTTGAGGTCTTTAAGTTGATGAATTGTCTGTCAGTGGGAATGAATGTGAATAAGTGAATGAATTAGGCGATTGAGTGGAGTGAATAAGGGCGAGCAATTGAATATTTTTCAAAAATTTTCAATTCACAAAATATTCAAAGTCAAATGGGAGTTTTCCATAATTTAAACAAAGAGAAAACGAAAGTACCTTCCATATAAATATGATAAATTCGCAAATCTTTCAGATGAATCATTTTCGATAGCGAGGGAGGCTGGGTGAATTTTAAGGGGTGAGGTGCTTACTTTAGGGACTCCTCCATATGTGACCTCTTTCGGGGTCTTTGTTTCGGCTTTGTATTTTTGTGTTTGCTTTTATTTTTTTTGTGTTTCTCGTTTTTTCTCCAGCATTATTTTTGCTCTTGTTCTTGTTTTCTTTTCACTCTTTTCTTGTATTATTTTTTCCATCGTTTCTGTTCTCGCTCGTCATATTCTTTGTTATCTTTTGTTGCAAATTGCCAACTTGGGCATTGCCAGTTGCAAAAATGCAACATCCACAGTGCGATGCGATACAAACAAACAAAAGCCTTGGCGTCAAAGCTCTGGGGTGCACTTGGCAGACTTTAAAGCTTCCTTCCCCCAGCAAAAATGCCCCCTTTTTATCACTCGAAGGCCCCGTACCGCCCTCGCCCCCGCCCCCTTTCGCAACCCGTCGAAACATCGCCAGCTATACTCCTTTGCCAACACTTGAAACAATCAAAAATCAATGACAAGCTGCACGGCCAAGAACGATCACTGAGAGAAAAAGAAATAAAGAGATTTTAAGGAAATTATTTTAAAAGATTCTATTTTTATATTAATCATAGTTTTTAACAGTAGCGAATTTAAGCTGGGTGAGGATTTAAGCAGAAAAACTACTTTTTGAATACCACATTTCCCTTCAAAATATTAATTAGCTAAAAAAACATCAAGTGAATTAAAAAAAATTAAAAATAATGAAATACAAAAGCACTTTGCTTTTCTCTCTGTGTGGCCCATAAAATTCAGCAAGGAGTGCTCGAAAAAAAACAGTTGACGACATTGAGACGAAGCTTCTTCCCCGGCTGTTGCCTTTTACTCATTTGTCTTTTGGCTTTTTGGAAATTAACAACAGAGTCAACCCCCAGCCAGCCCACATCCCCCCCTTATCTCCCCCCCACACTTCCACCTGATGTTGATGTTGCCGCTGGCAAAAGTTACCCCTTTTTTATATGCGCTATCTCTATCCATCACTCCACTCAGCCAGTCATATATATATTTTAAAATTTTTATGCCCGAATGAATTTTAATTCCTTTGACGGTTTTTGCCTTTGCCATTGGCAGCTGACGGCCTAAAAGTCTAAAAAACAAAAAACCAAAAAAAAAAAAAGGAGGAAAAATACAGAAGAGAATTATTTTATAAGCAAGCCCTGAAGAGCTTCGCTTTTGCAAGTGTGTGTGTGTCTTTGATTGCTTATTGTTAATTTGTATTTGTAGATTGGTGTCCCTGTGTGTGTTTTGTTGTGTGTGTGAGATGCTGCTGCTCGCTGATTAAACCCTTTTTTTACACCCCCACCACCACCCACTCCCCTCCACCCAGCTGCAAAACCCTTTGCCTTTGCCTCATGTGGAATATACATATGCAGGGAGATATATATGTGCAGAGATGTAGAGACAGACCGAGGCATAACCTTAATTCCTTTTGGCATTTTATGCTTCCTTCTGAGGCACGCGGAGAAATTTTTAGATTTTTACATCTGTTATAGATTTTTTATTTATTTAAAAATATTTATAGTGAATATTTAAAGGGATACTAATTTATGAATGTATTTTTAGTAATTTATTCTTTAACTAAAATATTGAAAATATTTCATGTTTAAATTTCTAAATATATTCTAAGTACAACTATTTAATTCTATTTCTTTATTTGCATTAGATTTATTTTTTTAAATATTTAAAAATATATCTTTTTACTTTCCCTACTCGGTATTTAAAATATTTCCCTCTGTGTAAGCGAAAAGTCCTGCTGCCAATTGTGCTACGTTTCTCTGCGTCTTTTGCCTTCGAGTGTTTGTTATTGTTGTTTCAGATCCCAAAACCCCCCCACCTCCACCCCCACATATATGTGTATATTGACTGCTTTGTCAATTGTTATGCAAAAGGGTAAAAACAAAATTCAGCAAGGAATGGGTTACTTTTCGGCTGCTTGGCAATTTTGTTAATTACAAATCGTTTGCTTTTCGCTCGCTGCTGTTGCTAATGTTCCACATTCCCGTTCTATCTATCTATTCCGTTTGTAAGCCAAAAATTATTACCCAAACTAGAGGGAAAATCCAACAGCAGGGCAGTCCAGTCTTTTGTCCAGCATTTTCGGTTGATTTTTTGAAGGAGTGAGTTGGGAAAAATGTAAATTTTCATAATTTCACAGTCAATACAGGAGGGAAAAACCAACACAGGAGTCCCTGTCCCCCTCTAAAGTATTTGTTATAGTTTGTTTGATTGCTGTTAGATGTTACATATATATAATAACTCCCCTCCCCATTTCCCCCAGTTTGCAGCCTCATCAACCACAGAAAACTTTCTGCTCAAGGGTTGAAAATGATTTCTACTGTCTACTACTTTATGTGTGTTTGTGTGTGTGCTGGCTCAAAATCCAAAAAGTTGATTTATCGTTTTAATATTTTCCAAAAATGTTCGAGGAAATACGGAAAAATCCCAATGACAATTTTCGTAGCTTTCAATTTGCATAGTCGCTGTTGCCAAACTTCATTGTCATTTAGGTTTACTAATTAGGTTTCTCCTCTTTTTTTATGAAAAAGTACATAAATTTACCATACAGTTACCATTCGCATATCGATTTGATCCCGTCGTGTTTTTTTGGGCGTATAAAGAAGGTATTAAGGAATATCATATTGAATATGCAGAGGTACAGTTGCCACATGTGTGGACTAACTCATCAGGCATTCTCCCCTGCCGACTTTCGCTAATTACGTTTATTTAAGAAAGCTGAAAAATTCCAATTTTCCAAGGGATGTCTTCTCCGCCAAGCAGTTGGCAATTAGAAGAGCCACCCCTGCCTGCCTGCCTGCCCGGCTTACCGCACCCATAAGATTTTTATGCAATTAATTTGAGTCGTTTGTCGTCTTGTCATGTCTCTCTACTTTTCGTACTTTTCGAAAAGGGTGGCTTCGTATCCCGTATGCTAATGAAAAATCGAACACGCATGCCAGCTAACCCAGAAACCCAAACTCAAACTCAAACCCAAACCCTTTCACATATCCTTTGGGTTTCTGGGCTCGAGGTTCGGGGGTCCTTCCTTTGATTGATAATAGAATTAACCGGCTGGCGGCTGTTTTGCATTTTTCGGCATGCCACATGGCAATACACGCATGTTCTTGATGCTTTTTTAATGCCAATTATGTTCTGGCCCATTGTTTATGGCCAATAATCATCAGCAGCGTGTGCCCCTCCACAAATATTGATAAAATAGACACATGAAGTGGGGACCCCTATATCGTGTGTGTCTGTGGTGTTCCCATGTTGATGAAATTATTGTTTATGCCCATGTTCGACACAAATCACGCAATGACACGCAAATTCGTAGTTAGAATTATGTTGATTTCTCAACTTATTTATTTATTAGCATATGGGTTAAAGTTGACTCACTCCCCGAAAAAAAAAAAATATTCAAAAATCAATAAATAAATGAGAAAACAAGTAAATATTTTCTAAACTTCTTCGATCGATTTATTCAAAGTTTTTGCTCCCCCGGCAGATGCGTCAATTAAAAACCGCGCCATAAAATTAATTTTAATCACATAATAACAAATACACACACATGAGAAAAAGGGGAAAGGGACACGCCCACCTGGCTGTCATTAAAAAATTTCGTTGCATACCACACGGCGCTGTCGAAAAACTTTATCTTGTCAACTTTCGGAAAGAAAAGGGGGGGTTTTTTTTTGGAGATAGTAGGGGTTGCAAGAAAATTAAGAGGGGATGTGTGCTGTCGACGCACTTAAGAAAAATTCCCTTGTCAAATTTGCCAATTATCATATTTTCATCAAACAAACAAAGTTCCCAAACAAAGCCCACATCGGCAAAGCTTTGGGGGTGGGAATATGGTTTGGGGGGCTTCACTGTACCTGGCGGCATTTGGCGGTTGGGTGGGTGGTTTCTACCCTACATATATATATGTACATCACCAGCATCAGTCCCCGGCAATCACCGCCGAGCGACATTGACGTCGTTGTTAATTTTATTAAAAATTATTTTATAACTCTAGAGAACTTTTCACACACACACACACACGCGCAGGCACGCAGACACATGTGAGGAAAATGTGAATTTTCCCAGAAGGTAAATGGGGAAACACGAGACAACAGCAATCAATGGATAAGGATTTTGATAGAGAAAGAGAGTTACAGGAATTAGCTTTGAATTAAATAAGAATTAAATTAGAATTCCTAATAATCGATAAATATAAAACTCGCTTCCTTCTAATTCGAAGGTTGAAAGCAGATCCCAAACCAGTAAAGCCACAAGGTTTATATTTTCACAAAAAGTTTTTACTACAGTGTAGATGTTAGCTAGGAAGTGATTTCTCCGTAAGATAACCCAAACAGCAATAACTATAAAATATATAATATTGTAAATTTTAGTATTTTTAGTAAACTTTATAATACCTAATTTTTAATCCCCACCTTTCTCACTTTTCCAGATTAAAGCACTTCTGGACGAACTGCAACGCCTGAGGGCGCTGGAGCAGACGCATCTGGTGCAAATCCAGCGACTGGAGGAGCATTTGGAGGTCAAGCGCCAGCACATAATGCGATTGGAGGCGCGTCTCGATAAGCAGCAGATCAATGAGGCTCTCGCCGAGGCGACCGCTTTGGCGGCAGCAGCTGCCACCAATAACAACAATAATAGCCAGAGCAGCGACAACAATAAGCAGAGCAACAAGGCAGGAGAAGCCGCCACACCGCTGGATGCGTCATCATCCGTCATCAGCATTGGCGATCTGCCGGAGGCCACAAAGACTTCAGCAGCAGTTCCTTCTGCCGCCGCCGCTGAGGATGAGGATGAGGACGAGGATCAGGCCATGCTGGTTGACTCCGAGGAGGCGGAGGAGAAGCCAGAGGAGCACCAGCGGGGTGACGACGACGAGGAGGAGGAGGAGGAGGCCGAGGATCGGGAGGCGGTCAATGCCACCAACACCACCACCACCACCGATAGCAACGAGCTCAAAATCAAAAAGGAACAGCAGTAAGTGCCTACACCATGAAGCTTAATATTAAATATTTCCTATATTATATTCTATATTATAACGATTACTAAAAGTGCAATGTCTTTAACAACTTTCAGCAGTCCGCTGGATCTGAATGTGCTCAGTCCGAATTCAGCTTTGGCCACTGCAGCTGCGGCCGCCGCTGCCGCCGCCTGCGCCAACGACCCCAACAAATTCCAGGCGCTGCTCATCGAGCGGACCAAAGCCCTGGCCGCCGAGGCGCTCAAGAATGGCGCCAGTGATGCCATCAGCGAAGGTGAGTCCCGAGTTCGCGTCCCGAGTTGTGTTTTTTTTGCTTATCAGGGTGGATCAAATTGTATAGTTTTTGGATTACAAGTATAATAACCAAAAATATCTTCTACCAAATTTTTTAAGATCATTGCAAAATATTAAATTTTAACTAAAGAAAAAAAATATTTTTTTAATCATAATATTATAACAATAATTTCTAAATAAATTATTTTTAAATGATTTAATTATTGGTCAGCTCTTAATGGTCCACCCTAGTGTGCGTACTGTACTTCCGGTTTGCCTTGCTGCTGTTTGCCTCTCATTCTTCCTTCCTCCATCCTGCTTCCTCCGCCTGTCCGATATATTTCTTGGTTTATCAATCGCTTTGATTTGAAACCGACGACTTGTATTTCTTTTTCTTTTTATGGTTTATTTAACCGCTTATCGCCGGCGGAGGATAAACCGTCCAAAGAAGAAGAGGAATAATTATTTATATCTCTGTGGGGGAGGTGGAGGAGTAAGGGGTTTGGTAAGGGGTTTCTATAAAGGCAGACGGCGCCAGATTTTATGGGCCAAAAAGGCAAACAGCTCTCCTTTTCTTTTTTCTGTTCTTTTTTTTTATTTCCACCTCTGACAAAATATTTGCATCGAGCGAATGCGAATGAAAATGAAAATGATGGTTATTGTTACTCTTGTTGTTGTTGTTTTGTTGATATCAATGTTGTTGTTGTCGATGTTGTTGCTGTTGTGTTCCGCATGTTTATCGATAGCAGAACGACACACACACACTCCACATCTCTCTTTATCGCTATTTTCAATCATAAATCGTTTTTATATATACCATACATACACATACAAAAATCAGAGATTCTTTGTTATTTTGTTGCACTAAATTGGCGAAAAAAAAATAAAAAAATTCCTAAGAAAAATTAAAAAAAAAAAACAAAGAACCGGCAAAAGACAAATTTTGATTAATTTTTGGCGTTTTGTTCCTTGGATGTTGTTGACAAAAAACAAAAAAAAAACTATCAAAAAATTATGATCTTGCTTTCCCAAAAAAGCAGCAACAACAAATAGCCCAATTTGTTTGTTGTTATCCCCAGAAATCAACCGAAATGATGAAGAAGAAGAAGAATCGCCAGCAGCTGTAAATGCAACTCTGGCCACACTGACAACACCTGAAACAACAAACGAAACGGAAACGAAAACGAAAAATGACATGGCGCCCAAGCAGGAAATCGAAGATGTGGATGAGGATGAGGATCATCCTTCGGTCAATCTGGTCAACGATTATTGGCGACGTGGCTTTGAATCCTCAGCGAATAATAATGTGAATGCAAATATGAATACCACTTTGAATACAAATGCACAAATGCCAGGGAGCAAAACGCCAATAAATTATCAAAATCTTAGGGCCGAGCAGCAGGCACAATTGCTGCCGCCGCCGCCACCACCGTTGCCCCCCCAGCAACATCTACACTTTCCACAGCAACAACAACAACAACCGCAGCAACAACAACAGCAGCAACATGGACCATCGTCCACAGCCCTGCTTAGTCAACTGGTTAACTCAACATTTTCCAACTCTTCCAACTCTTCTCGCCTAGATGCCCACCACCACCAGCAGCAACATCACCAGCAACAGCAGCAGCAACACCACCACCAGCAACATCACCAGCAGCAGCAGCAACACCACCAGCAACAGCAGCAACACCACCATCATCATCACCTGCAAAATAGCGGCAGCAACAGCAATCCAGCGACCAACAGCGACTTGAATCATCATGGCCATCACTTGCATCATTTGCATCACTTGCATCACGAATCCAGTTCGAATTCGAGTACACCTTCGGTTACGGCGGCGTCTGGGAACGGTGGTAGCAACAATGCTGGCAACCAGGCCACCCAGGCCACCGCTCAACTGGCCGCCAGTTTGGCCAGCACACTGAACGGAGCACAGAAATCGCTGCTGCAGGAGGATAGCAATGGACTGGCCACCGCCGCCGCAATGGCCGCTCATGCCCATTTGGGTCCAGTATCCGGTTTTCTGCCCGGCCTACCGGCCTTTCAATTTGCCGCCGCCCAAGTGGCCGCCGGTGGTGGCGATGGACGTGTGGGTCACTATCGTTTCGCCGATTCGGAACTGCAATTGCCTCCCGGAGCCTCGATGGCCGGCCGTTTGGGTGAATCACTGATACCCAAGGGCGATCCCATGGAGGCCAAGCTGCAGGAGATGCTGCGCTACAACATGGATAAGTACGCCAATCAGGCGCTGGATACCCTGCACATTTCGCGTCGCGTTCGGGAACTCCTGTCGGTGCACAACATTGGCCAGCGGCTGTTTGCCAAATACATATTGGGCCTGTCGCAAGGCACCGTCTCGGAGCTGTTGAGCAAACCCAAGCCATGGGACAAGCTGACGGAGAAGGGACGCGATAGCTACCGCAAAATGCACGCCTGGGCCTGTGACGATAATGCCGTCATGCTGCTCAAATCGCTGATACCCAAGAAAGGTGAGTGGATTAGCCAAGTAAAATGGGTTGAGAAGGGGGTTGGAAGGGAGTTGGGAAGGGGTTACGGAAGGGGGTTAGGAAGGAGGTTTAGTATGGGGTTGATGCATTACAGAGCAGCTTAGCAACTTGGACAGGTAAGCGGTGGTCATAAAGTTCAACTGTCCAACAAAATGAGTGAAAAGGATAAGCAGGATTTTTGTAAAAAAAATAATTACACTGTGCAGCATTTTTAGTGCTTTTTAAATTTACCTCGATGGATGCTATATTTTTGGATTCGTTACGAATTCCCAAGTTAAACTGCGTTTTCCAAAAAGTTCCCCGACGCAAGGATTCTTAGCAAAAGGACCTCAAAGTTCGAAAAATGCTGAAATTGGCCAACTTTGCGGAGCTCTCAGAGGCAAATGGATGCATGGTTTGATTCGATGTTAAAGTTTTTTAAAAGATACACCCTTTATCTTTTAAACCCCATACTTAAAAAATTTTTTAGATTTTTTTAAGGCAGAAACAAATTCTAGAAAACATAGTCAAAAAACATGAAAGTATACAGCTGCGGTCAAAATGGTAGTAGTGTTGCCGCCCTGTGTATTTAAAAGTTTGTTGTTGTAATTGATCTTTTCCTGGTAATATTGTATTGATTATAATTTTACTATTAGACTAATTGGATAAGAAAAAATTACAACATCAAACTTTTAAAAACGAAAGGCGGCAACACTGCTACTATTTTGACCGCAGCTGTATGTTTTTCAGTTTTTTGACTATGTTTTTTGGAATTTATTTCTGCCTTAAAAAAAATCCTAAAATTATTTCATGTATGGGGTTTGAAAGATAAAGGGTGTATCTTTTAAAAAACTTTAACTTCGAACCAAGCCATGCATCCATTTGCCTCTGAGAGCTCCGCAAAGTTGGTCAATTTCAGCATTTTTCGAACTTTGAGGTCCTTTTGCTAAGAATCCTTGCGTCGGGGAACTCTTTGGAAAACGCAATTTTACTTGGGAATTCGTAACGAATCCAAAAATATAGCATTCATCGAGGTTAATTTTTGATGCTGCATAGTGTTATTAAACAAGTTTTAAAAATTAAAAATAGTAAGAGTTGAAGGGGGAACTAAAATGTAAAAAAAAAGTTAAAAGGTATATTATTTTGAAAGCTTAAAAACTTATCAGCTCATTGAACTCTAACCGATTCAAAACCGATTCAAAACCGATTCAAGCCTTAACCGATTGAAAAGAGGGTCTTGAAACTCGAACTTCAAACGATGTCCTCTCGCTGTCCCCTCACTTTCTTCGGGTTTTTTGTTGATTTTTTGCGGCTTTTGGCGTTTTTCATTTCGTTTGGCCCGCGGCCAAAACATTAAATTGTGAAATTTTAATTATTTTTGATTTTTGCGTATAATCAACGTGCCAACAGCAGCGGCAGCGACAAACTTGACGATGCCCCCCTTTACCAGTGGCGGGGGTGGCGGAGGGGCGGCGTTGGGGGGCGGTGGGCGTAGCAAAGAGAGACATTTGCGGTGCAGTTGGAGCGGCCATTTGCCTGTCGCCATAAATTTCGGCAAATTCGCACATTAGGCGTGAAAATGAACAGGAATTCGTTTCATTTTGTCTGGTTTTTTCCCCCCCTCCCGTCTTTAGTTTAGTTTTCGTATTTTCATTCACCACGGATCTTGAGATCTGTACATTATAATGGGTACATTAGCTATAGGAGATAATTTTATATTATTATTTTCTAGGGGTCACATTTCTTTCAACCGAACCCCCCCTCCCATACGCCCATGTCAGCTCTTGTTATCTAGTTGTCTTGGTTTCCCGTTTCCCTTATTGATTAGTCATCAATTTTATGGCCGGAAAAGTTTGTGGCGGCGGAAAAAGCGAAAATATGTCAATGCAAAAGTATGTTTAAAGTGCCAGCACGCACTCCCCCCTTTCTACTATTTTTGCCTACGCCCCTTCTTTCCCTTCACCTGCCACAAAGTTAATCAAATGTGTGTGTGTGCGTCGTGTGTGTGTGTGTGTTGGTCTAAGTGCATGCAAATGTTGACAATTAATTTATGACGATTACTCATGGCAGCTAAACTAACTGTGACTGTTTATAGAGAGGAGTTGTGGCCAAAGGGGGGCTAAAGGGGGTTAAAGTTGGCCAGCCGAGGGTTAAAGTGCAACAGAGGTTAAGCTCTATATATTTTTTAGAGTTACCTTTTGCTCTTAAGTTTAGATAAATATTTCGAAATATTATAATTATCTTGATCTTCGATCCTCATTTTTTTTCAATGCCCTTTAGGATTTAAAAAATCTAAAATATTTTTAAACGTTTTAATTATCTTGATCTTCGATCCTAATTTTTTCCAAGTGAACTCTTGCCCCCCCATGACCTCCCCCGCATCCCCCTTTTAGACGTGCGCCCCTGTCAACTCGTTTGGTTAACAATACTTTGAAGTCATTGTGGCAAAAGTTAACCCAGGATGCGCGTCAATGAATTTTGAATTGTAATTGTTTAAAGCGCGTTATGAGCGAAACGGTTAAAATGGGGCGGTGGGTGGCTTATAAGGGGTGTAGAAAAGGGGGTAGAAAGGGGGGTTTCGACGCGACGACGACTGCCGTGACAATTGGTCTGTGAAAGGCTTGAAACAAAATACAACAGAAAAAGAAAAAAATTAAAAAAAAAATAAAATACAACACAAAAAAAATAAGCATACATATATAGCGAACAACGTGAAGTTGAATTAAATGTAAACAACAACCAGCGATGACGACAACAACAACAACAATAATAACAGCAACAAGAACAACAACTGTGAGCAACAACAACAACAACAAATAGCAACTGCAACAGACTTCAACGAGGCATGCAAAACGCTGACGTGCCGAGCGTTTGAAGTCGTCTTTGTGGCTGGCCAAAAAGAGGGTGGCAGTGGGTAGTGGGTGGTGGCTCAGGGGGTGGTGATTCAGGGGGTGCCAGTCGTTGTAGGGACAGAACACCAGCACTAGCTTGACGCAAAAGTTTTTGCGTTTTCGGTTTGTGTTTCCCTATTTCTTTTTGCCTTCCCTCTTTTTATTCTGCTTTTTTTTTATTTACAACATTTAACGACAATTGTTGCATATTAAACTGCAGCCAAAAAGGAGGGTGAACAAGAGTTCAGAGCAGGGCAATATCGATAGAAGTTTAGGTTTTTTATTTATATTTATAAATTTATAATTATAGAATACTTAGGTGATTGCCTACTTTTTGAATACGCTTTTTTTAATTTTTCACCCCATTGGGGGGATTTATACCTTATTGTATGCAAAATATCTTTTCTACCAATTCCCCTTTTTCATTATTGCCCCCTCTCTAATTTTTTTTTGAGTAAAGTTTGCTCAAACCACAAACGCAGAAAAAACTGTTGACAGGACTTTTGCCGAACAAGAACAACAACAACAAGAGGGAAAATAGTAAAGACCAGGGGAGAGTTAAGTGCTCAATTGAAACTCGTTTAGCAGGGAGCCTCAAAGCCAAGGCAAATATAGCGAGAAATTACGCGGCGTATACGTAATGACAAAGGCGAAGAATGGAGTTTTCAGAAGGGGTGGGAAGGGGGTGGAAAAGAGGCAGCCTAACGGAGCCATTATAGCAGCTAATAATACTAGCATATTAACACATAATTTTCAGCAGACAACGCCGTTGTCGTTTATTTGCTTTTAGCCAGGCCAACTCGGGCCAAAAAAATAATAAAAAAATAATAGAAAGAATAAGAGTGCGAGTGCGAGTGCCTAAGAATAGAACCAAAAACACACGGGATTCGACAAAACAAAAGCATTCCAAACGCCCGAAGATGCGGCTGAATAAAAACAAAAAACCAAAAAAGCAAGGCAGACTGCCACACATTTATTTGCGGCCGCTTCACAAATTATTTGTCACAAGCCATAAAGCGGGCTAAAAGTGTGCGTGTTCGTGTGTTCCGTGTGCTCTGTTGATGCCACACGAAGAAAATAAAAGAAAGAAATACTGGGAGATATTGCTATTCTTCTGACTAAGTGACCAACGGGGCGTATCAATTCCTTCGCCTTTGCGCGATTTCATTTCATTTGATTTGACTTGATTTTATTTATACATTAAGCATTAAGCACAGGTACAGTGCTCTAGGGATGAGCTTGTTAAGATAAATTATCGTAATGATCAAAAAAAATCGATATGATAAATGTATTGTAGAAAAGAGCAGGATAACATTGATCGATAAAAGTTTTTTATATCACATATAATCTTAATTATTTTTAATACAAATATTACAAGCTTATCAACATATATCGAAATTTAAAATAATACCTATCGAAATGATATTAATTCATCGATCTTTTAGGGATGTCACCCCTAAAATACTATAACTTGGCCATTCAAATTTCGGTGGCATCGCTTAAGTGTGGCGACTCATTGCGGTAACAAAAACAGACAGATGAGGTGGTTTTTTTCTTTCGCTGCTATTTTTTTTCTGTTTTTGTTTTTCGGGTTGAAAGGGGGAGGCGCAGGTTTGACTGCGTGGGCCGGCCAAACAATACGCATAAATTAGCATAAAGCTCGCTCAACAATTTTCATAAATCTGGCGATCGCCAGCAACAGCAACAAAACTGTGGCGTAGCTAAAATTTATTTTATTTTGAATTTCTTTGATATCTTTTGTGATGAACGAAATGAGGCAATCAGGAATGAAAGAAAGAGCCAGAGCCCCGCGGCCGAAGAGTAATGGCCTCCGATCAGGGAGTGCTAATAATTTGATGAGGACTAACCGAAAAATACTGTAATAAAAAGAATCAAATAAAATAAAATCAAATGAAATGAAAAATAAGCAGACCAAAAAAAAAGAGGGAAAAACAGAGAATTTAATGTTGCACATGTCGTGTTCGTGCTTGATTTTTGTGCTTTTTATTTTGCATATAAGGCAGCTAATTACTTTGTAATGAACTTTGACAACAGCAGCGAAATAAAAGGAAGAAGAAGTGATGGTGGTGGTGGCTTTTGCAAGGTGGAAAAGAGAACAAAGCAGCGAAATCATGACGAAAACAAATTAAAATGCAAGACAAAGTTGTTGCACGTAACCCCCTGAAACCCCTCCCCACACCATAAATGCGAAAAATTCCTCCTGGCTGCTGCTGCTGTCTCTTTCCCTCTTCTCTGCCCCCTTCTCTTTCGCACACCCTTTCTCTCTCATATTTTCTGCTTAATTGCAAGACAAACAATGAGTGCGAAGGTGCAATTGGAATGGGTTAAATGGCAGTGAAACGTTTTATATATTTTTTTTTTTGATAACAGGTGACGACTCTCTGCAGTGCAGAAGGAACCCACATTCGTTCGTATATAGAATAAAACCCCTTTTCCTGTCGAAACTCTTCAATTCGCCATGCTACGTTTGCTTTCTGCTCAGCTAGAAAGAAGAAGCCTCCAATTTCGTTTCCAATTCGAAGGCACTTCTTTGCCAGTGGCGTAGCCAGAATTTAGTTGAGGGGGGTTTCAGAAAAAATGTTGTGTTGAATACTTTTTAAATACCCAATTTCATATATTTGTTTTTTTTTTGGGAGGTGGATTTATCCTAAAAAGCCCCCCTTTGTCTACGCCCCTGCTTCTTCTCTAACCAACCACCCACTTGGCCTTGTCTTCGTTGGTACTTTTATTATTTTTTTTTTTTAATTGACACTTTTGCTAATACACAGGAACAAGAACAGCAACCAAAAGGGGGTCTATACCAAAAAAGGGGGGGCCCAAAGGAGTCACAGGACTCACAGTCACAGCGAAAAGGAAATACAAATGACTGGCATTTTAATTAGAAAATTTTTCTTGCAATTAATGCAAATTGCGTGCGTGTGCCAATTTCAATGTGCCGTTCAATTCCGACCTTCTATATTTCTTTTTACACCATCCAACCCACCCCATATATATAACCCTTTTGAGATCGACGCGACGTATGTTGAAGTATGATTACATATTTCTCCGTGTGCTGGCAAATATTTATTGTATTAGAATATAAAAAACAAACGAATTCAACCCCAAGGCCCCAAGATATAGACACTTCACTCCACTGTCTGTGTGGATCTCCTCCTGCTTCTGGGCTCTGGTGCTTCCTACTCTGATTTGTTATAAAAGGCAAATATTCATCAAGCAAATTGCCAGGGGTATAGGAGAGTGGGGTGGATAGATAGATTGTCATATAAAAATATACGTTATACGTTATAGATATACCTCTATGCTATGTATACATTTTTATTTGGTATGCGCTAGACAAATATGATAGCTCATATCTGCTGCTTCTGCTGCTGCTGCTGTGGTCCGAAATCCCTTTGAATGACAATTTGGTCAACATGTTCCTCTCTAATAAATTACAAAACAAAAAATCCCCAAACAGCATCTGAGAAATGAGTGGTGTGGGTTACAACACACAACGGGGGAAAAAAAATAATGTAAATCGCAGACAAAAAAGTGGCCAACGGTAACGACAAATATATATCCATATCTGAATGTCCCAATCTCTCTCTCTCTTTCCCTCTATATATATATTTATATATCTGGGAAATATATAGTAAAAAGTTGAATGATGGCCATAAAGGATGGCAGCGAAAGTTGGGGGCCAAAAAACTGCGGGCAACTTCGAAATGGGAAAGTCGGGAAGTCCTTTTGCAAAATATTATATTGTATAGGATGGGTTGAGAAAGGAGGAGGAGGCGACAGCTTTGTCTGTACGCCACGTGAGGCTCTTAAATTTCTGTGTGGCCAAATATTAAAATGATGCCAACAAAAATAAATATGGAAATTGGGTAACACACAAAAGTTTTGCGGGGTGAACTTTACTAATTGGAATTTCGATTCTCTAAATCCTCTAAATTCAGGTGAAAAATGAAAGGAAGTGTGTAATTCAAAAAGTATGCAACCAAGTCTTAGAAATGATAGATTCCTAACCCATATTCAGCTCAGCTTTAAAGTGTGCTTCATACTTAAAACCCAATCCAATCCCATCCAAAACCCAAACCCATCCAAACTGGCCACAATCATCCGTTAAGACCGCTTAAGCTGTCTGTGTCTGACCAACGCCATACCAACGATAACCTGGGTCTGGGTCTGGGTCATTCCAGGTGTCATCAATGTCATCTTCGACTTTATAACACAAAAACACTTTGTAATCCCCAAATGAAGCGACGACAAGGAGTCCGAGTTCGAGTCCACTCATAAGAGGAAAAAAAACGTATAGCACACAAAATGATTTTTCCAATTTTTATGCCATGGCAACGAAAGAAAGAAAAAACGGGGGAGTTGGATCTATTGTAGTTGGCCATTTTATCGCCTTTATCCATCTACTCGTTCAGTTGCCCCCACCCCGTACTATTCAGCTATTTTTCAAATCTCTCGCTTCAATGGCTGTCAGTCCAGGAAGTTTTTGGAACGGTGGAAAGAGGAAACGTTGCCCGGTGCCTGGACATTTGTCATTCATGTGTTGATTTCCGTTTCCGCTGGCATACCGATTCTTGCAGTTTTATTTGCGGCCAAGTGTTTGCTCCTTTGGGCATCGATTATGCTTGGCAATTGTAAAGCGATTTTCAGTTATTTCATTTCATCGCCGCCCGTACCCATTCCCATTCGATATTTGTACTTATTTCATTCCGCATTGCGTTCCATTCCGCTGAACGTGTGCGGCTGATTGATGTTTTTGCTGTGGCAGCCACAAAAACATGCCGCAGGACATCACACAGGAAATTCAATGGTCCCTGCTCGGGCGCCATGTCCAAAGTATGGGTCATGTCCCTGTTCGGGCGCCAGTTGACTGCTCTGTAGGTTGGCTTGGGTTTGGTGTCTCGAACCACTTGTGTGATTATTTTGCAATTTACCACTCGATTCTCTGTCACGAGTCAAAAGCAAAAAGCCAAAAAGCAAAACGCTTCTCCATTTCGTTTTCAATTGAGTTTCAGCAAAACAATTTTCAGTTGAAATTTTTTTTTATTTTTGAATTTTTTTCAACCTGCCTTTAACCATTGCGATTTTTTGTTTGCAATTGAATTCATTCATTTATTCATTTCGTTCGTTTATTCAACTCCTGGACGCTCGCTTCGATGAGCATTTTTGCAGGGTTTGAGGAATGGCGCGTGCCAAATTAGCGCAACGCTTTTGCATCGAACAACTATTTGAGGTCTAGAGTTATGAAAAAAAAAAATGCCAAAAAGGAGTATATATATTTTTTCTATACCCATTCATGGTTTCGGATGCATTGGATGGGCGGCTCAGCGAAGAGGCGTGGCACTTTTGGTGGACACTTGGCCACGGCGGCGACCCTTTTTGAACTGCAGCGCCGCTTTATGGCCGCAAATTCGCTTTGGCTTTTTGAACGCTTTATGGCTTAATTGGTTTCGGTCTGGTTTGAGTTTCAGTTTCAGTTTGAGTTCGAGTCCCATTTCCATGTTCATGTCGATTTCCATGTCCTGCCAATCGAGCGAGCAACCCATCATACCCCTTATAAAGTTTTTACAGCATTTAATGGGCTTTTTGCGATCATCTCCCCTTCCCTTCTGCCCCAAAAAAATAATACTAATCTTGGGTTTATGTTTTCCCCTTGCAGATTCTGGCCTGCCGCAGTATGCGGGTCGTGGAGCCGGCGGCGCTGGCGGCGATGATTCCATGTCCGAGGACCGGATTGCCCACATCCTCAGCGAGGCCTCGTCGCTGATGAAGCAGACGAGCGTGGCCCATCGGGAGCATCGGGAGCTCCAGCAGGAGCGTCGCAGTCACGGCGAGGATTCGCACAGCAACGAGGACAGCAAGTCGCCGCCGCAGAGCTGCACCTCGCCCTTCTTCAAGGTCGAGCAGCAGCTGAAGCAGCAGCAGCACCAGCAGCAGCAGCATCTCACTCCCGAACAGGCAGCGGCCGCCCAGCAGAGGGAAAGGGAGAGGGAGCAGCGGGAGAGGGAGCGAGAGCAGCAGCAACGACTGAGGCACGAGGACTTGGCCCAGGACAAGATGGCCCGGCTCTACCAGGAGCTAATTGCACGCACTCCCAGGGAGACGGCCTTTCCAAGGTGCGTATTATTGTATACTGCGTGTGTGAGAGAAAAGGTGGCAGCGCGGCGGTAGAGAAAATTAAAAAACCTAGTCAATCCAAAGATTTCATATTTAATTTAAATATTTTTTGCGGTATTAATACATTTTAAAAAGGAGAATATTTGATTTTAAAATTATAGTAAATTTAAAAATATGAAACATTGATTTTAATATGAAATTCTTATTTCTACCTTGATTTAAATATTTTTTTATTTAATTAAAAATTATAGTAAAAATTGTAGGCCTTGATTTTAATATCAAATTCTATTTTTCTAATGACGTAAAATATTTCAAGTAAATAGGAATATTGTTGTATCAGTATTTTCTAACTCGATTCAAATATTTTCCAAACGTTTTATATATAAATATCACCATATTTTATTTAAATTAAATATGTAATAATAATTTTTATATATATTATAGTTAGTTAAACCCTTTCTAATTAATTTCTTTCTCCCCTCTAGCTTCCTCTTCTCACCCTCGCTGTTCGGAGGAGCCGCCGGCATGCCGGGAGCGGCTGGCAATGCCTTTCCCGCCATGGCCGATGAGAATATGCGTCATGTCTTCGAGCGCGAGATCGCCAAGCTGCAGCAGCACCAGCAGCAGCAGCAGCAACAGCAACAGGCGGCCGCCGCCCAGTTCCCCAACTTCTCGAGCCTGATGGCCCTGCAGCAGCAGGTGCTCAATGGCGCCCAGGATCTCTCGCTGGCCGCCGCGGCCGCCGCCTCCAAGGACATCAAGCTGAATGGCCAGCGATCCTCGTTGGAGCACAGCGCCGGCAGCAGTAGCAGCTGCTCCAAGGATGGCGAACGGGAGGATGGCTACCGGAAGTCCGAGGGAGGCGGTACACCAGCTCCCCCAGCACCGCCAGCGGGAGCAGCTCCACTGCCCAGCGGAGGAGCACCAACTGGAGCACCAGGTGGAGCAACCAGCGGCAACTCGGCGGCGCCCAGTCCGCTGAGTAACTCCATCTTACCCCCAGCTTTAAGCAGCCAAGGAGAGGAGTTTGCGGCCACGGCCAGTCCGCTGCAGCGAATGGCCTCGATAACCAACTCGCTGATCACCCAGCCGCCGGTGACGCCGCATCACAGTACTCCACAAAGACCCACCAAGGCGGTCCTGCCGCCCATCACCCAGCAGCAGTTCGATATGTTCAACAATCTCAACACGGAGGATATCGTGAGAAGGGTCAAGGAGGCGCTCTCGCAGTACTCCATTTCCCAGCGTTTGTTTGGTGAATCTGTGCTGGGATTATCGCAGGGTTCCGTCTCTGATTTGCTGGCGCGGCCCAAACCCTGGCACATGCTCACTCAAAAGGGTAGGGAGCCCTTCATCCGCATGAAGATGTTCCTGGAGGACGAGAATGCGGTGCACAAGCTGGTGGCCAGTCAGTACAAGATTGCCCCCGAGAAACTGATGCGCACGGGCAGTTACAGCGGCAGTCCGCAAATGCCGCAGGGATTGGCCAGCAAAATGCAGGCGGTGGGCTCCCTGCCCATGCAGAAGATGATGAGCGAGCTGAAGTTGCAGGAACCGGGAGCTGCCCAAGCGCAGCATCTCATGCAACAGATGCAGGCGGCGGCCATGTCGGCGGCCATGCAGCAGCAGCAGCAGCAGCAGGTGGCTCAGCAGCATCACCAGCAACAACATCTCGTTGCCCAGCAGCAGCAGCAACATCTGGCTGCTCAGCAGCAACAGCAGCAACATCTCGTCGCCCAGCAGCAGCAGCAACAGCAGCAACATGCCGCGGCCGCTGCACTGCATCACCAGAGCATGCTGCTCACCTCGCCCGGCCTGCCGCCCCAGCATGCCATCAGCCTGCCTCCGTCGGCTGGCAATCCGAGTTCCAATCCCAATCCGAGCAGCAATCCCGGCGAGAAGAAGCCCATGCTGATGCCCGTGCATGGCACGAATGCCATGAGGAGTCTGCACCAGCACATGTCGCCCACGGTCTACGAGATGGCTGCCTTGACCCAGGATCTGGATACGCATGATATTACCACCAAGATCAAGGAGGCCCTGTTGGCCAATAACATTGGCCAGAAGATATTCGGTGAGGCTGTGCTGGGACTCTCGCAGGGATCCGTCTCCGAGCTGCTAAGCAAACCGAAGCCGTGGCATATGTTGTCCATCAAGGGAAGGGAACCCTTCATTCGGATGCAGCTGTGGCTGAGCGATGCCAACAATGTGGAGCGATTGCAGCTGCTGAAAAATGAGCGGCGGGAGGCGAGCAAGCGAAGGAGGAGCACGGGACCGAATCAGCAGGACAACAGCAGCGATACCTCGAGCAATGATACCAATGATTTCTATACCAGCAGTCCGGGACCGGGTTCAGTGGGTTCCGGTGTGGGTGGAGCACCGCCGAGCAAAAAGCAGCGTGTGCTCTTCTCCGAGGAGCAAAAGGAGGCTCTCCGATTGGCCTTTGCCCTGGATCCCTATCCCAATGTGGGCACCATTGAATTTCTGGCCAATGAATTGGGTTTGGCCACTCGAACCATCACCAATTGGTTCCACAATCATCGCATGCGCTTGAAGCAACAGGTTCCCCATGGACCCGCCGGCCAGGATAATCCGATACCGAGTCGCGAGAGCACCAGTGCCACGCCCTTCGATCCCGTCCAGTTCCGCATCCTGCTGCAGCAGCGTCTGCTGGAGCTGCACAAGGAGCGGATGGGCATGAGTGGTGCACCGATTCCGTATCCCCCGTACTTTGCAGCTGCTGCCATTTTGGGACGCAGCTTGGCGGGGATTCCTGGAGCAGCGGCGGCGGCAGGAGCAGCTGCAGCAGCGGCCGCCGTGGGAGCAGCCACCGGTGATGAACTGCAGGCCCTGAATCAGGCCTTCAAGGAGCAGATGAGCGGATTGGATTTATCCATGCCCACGTTGAAGCGCGAGCGCAGCGATGACTATCAGGAACTGGACTTGGAGCTAGAGGGAGGTTCGGGTCACAACCTCAGCGACAATGAGTCCGAAATGGAGGGTGGTCAGGAGGAGGATAAGACAACCAGCGATTACGAGAAGGCTTTGCACAAGTCCGCTTTAGCAGCCGCCGCCGCCTACATGTCGAATGCGGTGCGCAGTTCGCGACGCAAGCCGGCTGCCCCCCAGTGGGTCAATCCCGCCGGTGCAGTGACCAATCCCAGTGCCGTCGTGGCAGCCGTGGCAGCGGCAGCAGCAGCAGCCGCAGCAGCGGACAACGAGCGCATCATCAACGGGGTGTGCGTGATGCAGGGATCGGGATCCTCCTCCTCCGTCGAACCAACGGATAGTGGGGCCACAAACGAGGAGGCGGAGGAGCATGAGCATGCCCAGCTGGAGATTGATCAGCGGTTCATGGAGCCGGAGGTGCACATCAAGCAGGAGGAGGACGACGACGAGGAGGAGCAACCAACGGCGACAGCGGAGAACAGCGGCGAGGAGAACAGCGAGCTGAAGCTGAAAGTGGTCAACGAGGAGAAGCTGCGAATGGTGCGGGTGCGACGACTGAGCAGCAATGGCGGTGGCTCCTCCGAGGAGATGCCCGCCCCGCTGGCGCCTCCACCTTCAGCAGGAGCGGCCACTTCATCATCCAGTGGAGCAGTGGAAAGCACCAGTTGCAGTAGCAGCTCCACACCGGCAGTGACCACAGCAGCAGCCGCCGCCAGTTGGAATTACTAGATAAAAACTATTAAGTAAAAACTAAAAATATATATGAATATAAATTCAGTGCAATTGTAGAGAGAAGGAGAGAAGAAAAAGCGCGTTTACTTGTGATTAAGTTTGAATGTTTAAACGATGAGGATACACACCCATACATATATTATACATATATAAATAGCACTTAGGAACACTTAGGAGAACTCTATATATATATTTTTTTTTGTTTTTTTTTTTTGTATTGTCATTAAACATTAACTACTAAATATAGGATGTTAGTTGTAGAGTTATAAGATTATAGCCTTAGGTTGAGCAGTTGTAATAGTTGTAGCTAAAAGTTTAGAGAAGCTATGCGATGGAGGATAGAAGTTGAGATGAGGGAGCAGCGCAAAAGTATTAATGAGAAAAAATAAACCCATTTAAGACCCCCGACTTGCCGAAGAACTTTAACCAAAACGTCGAGATCCGATTGATAAGGAAAGATTTGATCTTGCTAAGATTTTCGATTTCGATTTTTCAATTTGTTTCTACTTGAAGACTGTAAGCAAAGGCGGTAGGATTGATAACTACACACGTAATTCGTAATTCTATTCTATGCATACATTATATTCTATTTTTTTTTTTTGAGTAACTATTATCTATGATTATTAGCAGTTTAGCTGGCTTAAGTGTAAATAAATCAAGTTAAATAAATAAATGAAAATGTACATAGATTTCTCGCGAGGCATGAGGCATGATCTTGCTGTCGTTCTTCCTAACAGATCCTACCTTCTACACACCACCCTCAGCAACCGACTTGTTTAACTATCTTTTGATCTCAAGCAAAAAACAAAAACAAAACAAAAAACGTAACCGATATTTAAAAGGGAATTGTGGAAGGAGTGGAGTGAAAATCCAAAGTAAAAGATAGTTAAAAGTAAAGCAGAAAATATTCCCCCTTTTTTTGTTGCCCAAACAAAAATAAAATAAATATTTGACGATGAGAAAAGTAAAGGCAAATCGAGAAAAAAAATATATAACAATAAACTTTGTAAATTCTGAATTTACATAAAAATCACACACACACCCACACAACAAACACACATACACATACACAACAACAACACACACAAATTGAGTAATTCATAATTATAGCAAAAATAAACATGCAAAATGCACTAAATTATTTATAATCTAATTATTCTATACATAATTATATATATATAATTATACATAATGCATATAAAGCGAAAAGCGGAAAATTTATCAACTTAGCCTAACGGTAATTTAAATTTGCATTAAACCCTAGCATAAATAACAACAATTTTTTTCTGTGAATCTAAAATATTTAAAGATGAAAATAAAAAACAAAAACACAAACCGCATATCGTACTAAAGAAATTACACAAAAGAAAAGAAAAAAAGTAAACAAAAAAAAACAAAAACCCTAAACTAAGACAGCCAATTTTTTTTTGCTTAGACCTTAAGTTTACAACGTAATCGTAATATTAAATAAATTACAAAATAAACAAACAAAAAGAAAATTAACAAAAAAATGAATCTGTTTTCCTATACGAACAAGAGACAACAACAACACAGAAAACCAAGAAGAGCAAAAACAAATTTTAAGAAATATTTAAAACATTTTTTTTCCTAGGCTAAATGTTTAAGCTAAACAAAAAACAGATTTCTCAAACCAAAAACAAAAAAATGATAAATAAATTAAAACTACACGAAAACCATTTTTGCATAGGCCCGAAATTTTGCCGCGTTATTATTATTATTATTATTACATACATATATATGAGAAGAAGAGGAAATAAAGAGAAAGAAAATTACCAACATATACCAAACACATTTCAAAAACCTAATAAAAAATACAATTTGCGTCTTCAAGCAAAATTTATACAAGAAACGAAAACTCAAAAAAAAACTACGAATATTTTTAAAAAATATGCAAACACTTTTTGCCCGCTGTCAGCGAAATTTGTTAAGATCTTCTTTAAATTATAATTTCTCTCCTTTCCTCCCGTTTGCGTTTAAGTTATCGAGTTAAATACTTTGCATTTTCATACGCTTTAGCTAAAGAATAAATTACATCTATATGAATATGAGATAAACAAGTAATAAATAAATATATATTAAATATATACAAAATATGGATAAAGAAAGTTGAGAAAGCTGAGACAAAAAAAAACAAAAATGGTTCGCAACTTTTAGTTTTAATTATTTCTTAAATACAATTTTTTTGTCTTCGTATTTTTATTATTATTATTGTAATTATAATATAAATAATATATATATATATTGATATATATATATATTTAAAGAAGAGGAGAGAAAGCGAAAACACAAGCGACAACATACCAATAATACATGAACATGAACGAAACTTTATCAAATAAAAATGTTTTCTTAAACGAAAAAAAAACCCATCGATATCCTTTTTTATTTTCCTACAACAACTAAAGAAAACCACCAAAAATCGCAGAAAATGCCGCTGAGGAACGAAAGTACTCGCAATCTTTTGTAATCCCTGTCCCCGAAGCTCCCGTATAACCTTTAACCCCCGGAATCCCACCCTCATAAAGCAGATAAATTGTATAGCATTGGGGCGGCCAAAAAAAAGAACTCTCCATAAATTCTGCATAAATTTCATCAGAAATCAGAGAGTCTCCACACCCAGCCGATATAAGCCTATATAGACCTAGTTATATATATATGCATGATCAGCATTTTTATACATACCATAAATAGTTATATTTATTAACAATATGCGGTGCTAGCCAAGTAAAGTAAAGGAATGTCGCTATATATATACTATAAATATATATATACAACTTATGGTAGTGACGTAGGCAGGTGGAAATTTTTTGCATAGATCCGTACTGCTCCAAAAAATACATACGTAATTAATTTTAAACAAAGCAATTTAAAGCGGAAACGGTTATTACTTCAAATCAAAAGAAAAGTTGAGCTGTAAATACGATATATAAGAAATTATCCTTCCAATTAAAAAAAGAAACACACAAACACGCGCCACTTTTTTATACCAAGTGAGAAATGATTGATTCGTTTTTTTTTCTAGAACTTATAGACACAGATATCTATAATATGAATATGAATGAATTTAAGCCCATGGTGATATGCGCACACACTCCACACACACTCTCTCCACTCTCCAGTTTTGAGACTTTGCCAATTGTCCTACCTTCCTACCTTCTTTTTCACCCATTAAATATTAGCTGTACATACGAAAAGGAAAACCCAGAAGATAAATCGAAGTTCAGATCAGAAAGTAATTACAAGAGAAAACAAAAACCAGACCATATCAATATTATGTTTAATGCATAAGAAATAGCAAGTCGAAGGGATACCACAAGCAAGTTATTTTAGCAGATATGAAAACCGACTTGAAATAACCACATAGTGTTAACCAGCAGATATATATATATATACAAATCTCTATAATATAATCTCTATATAACATGCATTCAGAACTGTTGAATGGCCATGAGAACCAGGACAAGAACCGTAGTTAACACACAAAAAAGAAAAATCGATTAATAGATCGATTAATCGATCTGTTGCACCGATATACCAAGCCGAATCCCTAAGTTTTCAACCGACAAAGATCTTGATGAGAAAAGCCAGCTCCGTTTTTCAGTTTGAAATCCGCCCAAAAATGCAATGAACAAAAAATAAAAAACCAGAAAACGAAGCGAGGAGAGTAACACAAATTAAGAAGAAGAAGATTCTTAAGCAAATTAGCAAAATGTGCCCAAAAAACAATTTAAAAACAAAAAAGCAGCAAAAATATCAAAAATATACATATAAACAAAAGTAAATAGAAAACCAAATACAAAAAACAAAAACCATATATAGTTATATATATATAAATTATACATAGATATTAAACTTAAGCACATACACTTTTTGGCAACCTCGAAATCATTTTCTAAGACCTAAGCAAAGCAAAAAACATGAAACTTAACCGAAAAATGAACTTAAAAACAAACAAAACAAAAGCAAACATTTTTTTGTAGCATTTCTTGTATAAATGCACACGAGCATTAAATTAACGACAAGCCCAAATAAATTAAATTAATGGTAATGAATATTTTTTTTAATTAAGCTAAACTGTAATTGTGTTTTTGATTTCACAATTATTGAAACGTATTTCCAGCAAATCGATTTGCAAAGCAAAAGCAAAAACGAATTAAAAGAAATCAAACGAAAGCGGAAACGGAAACAGAAACAGCCACGAAAATTATTATCAAAATAAACGATGGACATGAAAAAAGGCGAAAAGACGAAAGGGCGAGGCATTTGAGATGTCGCCGAAATGAAAAACACGAAATAATGCGAATATAAATAATAATAATATGATTAATAAACTAGTTTATATAGCATGTAAAACTGAACAGAAAAATCAAATTCAATAAAGACGAATCTACTGTATTCCAATACGAAGGCCATATTTAATTATGGGAGAGGATTGTGGGTGATAAATTATGGAAAATAATACATCAGATTTGCATTTAAGAATTCAGAAAATAGATCATTGGATCATTGAAGAGGGTGAAAAATATGGATAAAAATTTCAGACAAAAATAAAAATCTTGTTGTGGTTTTTTACTCGTAATTTGGACAAATCAAGGCCTACAGTGAAAAGACCGACTGTTTTAAACCGCTAACGACCTACACTAACGAATCCCATCACTTTCTGCGAAATTTATTTTTTGATCCATTTTTCCATTTTTTAATGATGGTTACATCATTATTTTTTGCGAAAAATGACAAAATTTTAAAATTTCCAAGTTTAAATGCCAATCGTTAGGGAATTTAATTACGAGCTCAGCAAGGTATTTCATTCCATATTTAGATCATTATTTCTATTGTTACGGTCAAAAAACTGATATTTTAGGGTTAAAATATGGATTAGAATTTCAGACAAAAATAAAAATCTTTTTGTGGTTTTTCACTCGTAGTTTGGACAAATCAAGGCCTACAGTTAAAATACCAACTGTTTTGAACAGCTAACGACCTAAGCTAACGATCCCCATCACTTTCTGCGAAATTTATTTTTTGATCAGTTTTTCCATTTTTTAATGATGGTTACATCATGATTTTTTGCGTAAAATGGGTCAAAATAAAAAAGTACAGTTTTGATTGCCAATCGATGGGAAATTGAATGACGACCCCAACGAGGTAATACATTCCATATATTGGACCTTATTTTGCATCATTACGGCTAAAAAACTGAGTTTTTTAGGCTTAACCATTTTATTTAAACTCCAATGATGCCCATTGCTAGAAAGTATTTTAAGGCTTATAGATGGCGTATTTTAAATGTTATTTTACGCCGCTAGAGGTCGCATGGAAGTAAAGTAAAATGGCGTGTAAAGTTTATTTTACATTTGTAAAAGCCTGTAATTTTGGTAAACTTAAAAAGCTTTTACGCTTAAAGCCCTTTTTCAAGCCGCTGATATTTTTAAAATTATTATTAAATAAACAGAGCTGTTTTTAATTTGTGAGTATATTAAGAAATTAAAACTAAGAATTATTTATTTAAATAATTGATTATCAAGTTAGAATTAAAAATAAATTAAATGTTAGTCACCTGTGTTTTTTCCAGTACTCTGTACCAAATTTTTCCTTACTCAAAAACCCTTTATAAAATTTTAATCAATAAAATATTTTAAAAAATCAAACGCCAGATAATTTTGCTCGATATCAACAGATGGGTGGAGAGTAATTTATTTATTGTATGTCATACACAATTCGCTTATACACAAAGATACAGGCCCAAAGATCAGTCCCAAATCTGTTTCGCACTTGGTTTGTTCGTCTTGTTCCGTGATTTTCTATATAAATTAGCAACAAACTGAAATCAAAAGTTCTTTCCCTTCATATGCATTCATATTTTTATACATTCGTTTCTTGGTTTGGTTTTTTTTTTCGTCCAAAAAGTAGAAAAATGTTATGTCTAAAAAAATACAGGGTAACATTTTCATCCTAACCGTTTTTATCTTTGGTTTTGTCGCATTTGCTTTGCATACATATGTATGTATATATATAAATATAATTTACGTTTGATTTGCTTAATTTTTGCTTGGTAATTCTTAAGTGTCTCCATATCTTAATTGATTTACTTTGCTTTTGTATATGTATATTTTGTATGAAATATTTTGTTGGTACAGAGGTGTTGTTTTAAAGACATAAAAACAGGCGCTAGTTGAAACCTTGGAGGGCAAACAGATTGATCATCGTCCATTCATCAGAGAGATTTACATATGTGTGTATGTTGTGTGTGGGCCACTACACAGAAAAAAAATTCGATATGATTTATGTCAAATTTATGCTTCAAACATATCAACTTGATATTCTATCATATCATATAAAATAAACTAAGGTAAACATAATCCTTATTCATATCAAAATGATATGATCTTAAAAAAATATAAAATTGACCAGCACATATCAATCTGATCTTTTGTCAATTTTTTTTCTGTGTATATCTCAATGCCTTCGGTTCTATCGAGATGTTCTCGGATACCCTGTAGTCTGTACATTTTGTGTGTAGGTGAGTGTAGTGTAGGTCTTATTCTTTGAGGCTAAAGCAAGGCGGGGCTCAAGGATCTCGAGTTCTTCTATTTTCTAGCTTCAAGCTAACAATTTAATAATTTAATAACAAACGAATCTATGAAAATTGGCAACAGTGCGTCATTTAATCAAAGCTCTACGCTGGTTTCGGCCCAGGACTCACATTTCTAATCATCATCGAGGGTGAAAAGGCAGGCACTTACTATTTACTATTTAGTTCAACAGAATCCGATCTCTCTATATAAACTCTATATTAATTTCTGTACAACTACAAGCTATATACACATTAAAAAAATACAAATAAAAATACAGAATATTGTTTAAATATAATTTAATTAAAAATTAAACATTAAAAATCCAAAATATATAAATAAAACACATGTCGCGTAAAGAAAATATTTCACATTTTGATTGGTGTGTATTTGGTACGCAAAAAAAGTTGTATAATCAATTAAATATATAAGTAATATATACCAGCATGTATATATACGGTAATAATAATAATAATAATAATGATGCGATATAATAATTAAAATAGAAGAAAAAACACGTTAACAAAACTGGTTAGCTCATCGGTTGTTTGTTGTTTTGGGGGAGATATAGAAGATATAGGGGATACGGGATATAGGATATAGGATTCGGGATCGGGAAGATAGTTATCCACCTTTCTCGGCTAAAGCTTAAGGTTGCATAACAATATTTGTCGTATATGTATGTACTTTGCTATTGCTGTCTGTAATTTATGCATATATATATTACTCATTACTCGTAGGTGTCTATAGCTACATAGAATTTGTTTAAACTTAAGCGAGACAACGACAACAACAACACGGGCGGCGATTGTCTTTCACTGTGTGTCGTGTGCAAAGGGTTTGTGGGGCTATGGTTATAAAAAGGGGGTGTTTCGGGATTTCTATTTCCTTTTTTTTTAGGACCTTAAGTTTAAAGCTAAGTATACAATTATTTTGTTGTTCTCGCTTCTGGTATTTAGTCACATTTCTTTCCCCATTTAACATGCTTCAAGGCAATATTCTTATGTAATTGAACTAAAATTAACAAACAAAAAACCATAATCGTAATAATAAGTTCTTGAGGAAACAAAATATTTTTAACATTTTCTTTTTTTTCTGTTTTGTTTTTAACAACTAGCAAATTGGTTTCTCTTTGACATCAACATTTAGTTTAGTTTCGTAAGTGGTAATTTAAATATATATATTTTTATATTTATATTTATATAATTTTTAATGCGATCTTTGCTTTTGCGTTTTTGCTTTTTGCTAAAAAGGTACATGAAGTGTATACACTTAGGGCGTTCTTTGTCAAGTTCGTTCTTCCTTTTGCTTATTTAAATGTTAATAAGTATTTCTTGGTTTCCACAATATGTAAATATGCCTATGTAAAGATGTGCAGCATAATTTCAACAGCTAATTCGCTTATTCCATTCTCTGTATTCTGTATATACACCTGGGGATTGTAGGATTGGAGGTTCATTCAACTAAAATCGGCTAGCTTACGGATTTGATTTGATTTCCCTTTAACAAATGTTTAGCATTTCAACTACGTAACCATCTAAATGAAGCTTACAACAAGGATTTTCGTTTTTCCTGACTTATTAACTAAATATCTTTGATTTAACATTTGCTTGAGGGGGGTGAAAAGAGTAGGGGGGCCTTAGTTATATAATATATATATATATATATATTTACTCATGCATTCGTATAACAAAGCAGTTCAAACAATTCTTCAACAGATCTCTCTTTTGTTTTTAGCTAAGGACTCAATATATAAGGCGCTAAATGTGTGTTCCTTTGTGGGTTTCTTGCTTGGCTTATCTTAAGTTTCTCTAAATAACTCTCTTTCTATATATAATATATATAATATATATTTTTATATATTTTTGTATATGTTTTATATCGCTTTCTCTTTAGATCATTGTAAGTAGGGTGTGTTTTTTGGATCTTATAAGTGTAGGAAAAACATTTTCTTGCGGCACATATAACCAAAATAAAAAGGATCTTAACTTTGTTTGTTTTCTAGCTTTTTTCCTTTTTCTTGCGCTTTTTACAATTTTTTTTTGTTGCTTTATTTCGTTATTTTGTTTCATGTTTTCTTTGATTTTTCTTACTTAGCTCAATTTGTTGGTGTTGTTTTCGTTTATCGCTTAGTTTTCCTATTCCTTTTTGATATAAACCTTGTCACTGATACGCTGGAAAAGTTTACTTAGTTTGTGTCCCTCATATTTTGCAATTTAAAACGAATAAACTAGATTTCTGCCTTAAAAGCTAACAACGATCGGGGAACACTTTTCCACTCTATAACTTTTTCTCGTTTTTCATCTTTTCGCTTTCAATTGGTCTGTAAAATATTTGCACAAATTAAAATTACAAGCTAAAAAAAATCATAATTGCACTTAACAGCTAAGAGTTATAAGAAATTGCAGCTAGGATGGCTAGTAAATCATATATATAATTAATAGTTAATAATGTAATAGTTAAATGGCCAACAATCAATTGCGGTTCAAAAAGGTAAGGTCAAAAAAAAAATACATTTAGGGCTAAATTTAAAAAATGTAGTAATAATAATAATAATATAAAAAAAATAGTCAGTAATTTGTATAACAAACACGGAAAGGGGTATAAAAAACACACAAAAAACTTGTAAAAAATAGAGCAAAATAAAGGAAAAAATTTAAGGTTACGAAATTTGTTTAGTCTAAATGCTCTGTGATTTGAACAATATTTTTTTTTGCTTTAGAAAGAGACAACAATAGGTCGCAGGGGGGCGGGGGGTTGGTGCTTTTTTCCGGTTGGCTGTTTTAGGTGCATTTGCCGCCAGCCTGCCGCCATATTCACCGCATCCAGGCGGACTTTCGCTTGATCTTGGTGCGCAGTCCCCTCAAGGGTTTCACCTTATTTTTGCTTGCCGCCGCCGCCGCCACCATGGCAGCACTCAAATGCTGCGGCAACATGCCCGCCGCCGCCACGCCCACCGCCACCGCCGAGCTCACACCGCCCACCGAGGGAAGGCAGTGATTGTTCAGCCCACTCAGATATATGCTGGCATTATGCCCGGCCGCCGAGTTGGTGTATAGATCCTGCTGGTGAATCTGCTGTTGCTGTTGCTGTTGGGCCAGAGCCACATTGGCAGCTGCACTGCTCAATAGAGCCATCTTGCTGCCACTGCCATTGGTGTAGACCGCCTGACTGCTGCCAAATTGCTGATGGAGGTGTTGCTGTTGCTGCTGCTGCTGAAGATGTTGCTGCTGGTGCTGCTGCTGCTGCTGCTCCCTGTGCTGCTGCAGGTGCTCCTCCTCCAGGCTGTGACTCGAGGCTCGCTTGTGCGGGGAACCGTGACTGCTGCCACTGCTGCCGTTGCTGTGATAATGAGTGGTGGCCACCGAGCCGCACTCCACAATGGAGGAGCGGGAAAGCGATAGCAGGGCGTCCACGCCATCGCGATGTCGCTGCCGATCGGCCATCTCCTCGGGCGTGATGTTGTGACTGGTCAGAAAAAAGATATAGTTAGTAGTGCTTTCATGAAAAATATATGAGGCTTATCGGAATTATCTATCTATTTATATACAGAATAATATTTTTAATTCCTTAATTTCCCAGAATATGTTATTTTTTTAAAGATTTTTAATGACATATTTGTGCTCCATAAAACCCCGCACTCACTTCTCCTCACTGCTGTCATAGGCGGCATCCGAGCTGGCGCAATTGCTATCGGATCCAGGACCTCCTCCCTGGTTATTCTGGGCCTGGACGACGGCCTGCGCCACGCTGGCCAAAACATTGCCATTGGTCAGCGGCGTGGAGGAGCCACTGTCCGCATTGCTGTTGCCGCCCGCTGAATATGTATGATCCTCGCTGGGGGAACTCGTTATCACCGGTGCACTGCTGGAAAACCAATTCAGGATTAGCTATATAATATATTTATATATAATTTATATTTATTTACCCATTCTGGAAGGGCTCACTGAAGGCCTTTGGTCCGTGTTTGAGGAAGAGCATCGCCGCCGCCGCATGCACATCGTCCATGCTGTCCGCTCCGCAATCGCGGGCCAGACGCTCGAAATTAATGCCATCGGAAGCTCCATTTGTGGCGGCACCTCCTCCGCTGCCATTTGCAGTTGCAGCTCCTCCATTTAAGGCCACATAGTTGCTGCCATACTTGCTATTATTATTCTGATAATCCCCAGAGGACAGCTCATCATCGAGGACATCTTGCAGCAGCGGCTGTCCGTTGGCCGAATCTTCGCGAATATTTCGAAAGGCCTTGGACAGATTGGGAAAGAGCTTGGGATCGAAGCGGGCATGACTGCCGCTGCCGCCGCCGTTGGGACTGTGCGGCCTGGCTGCACTCGTGGCCTGACTAGCGCCGTTGGCCAGCGCCACCAGACCATTGCTTTTCGTGGGCGTGGAGGACAGAGCCACGGCAGCGACCCCGGCGGGAAGAACTCCTGCTCCCGTTGCTCCACCTCCAACTGGTTGGGAGCTGACAACCGAGGAAGGCGGTACTGCTGATGCCACACCATCGACGCTATCGTAGGCCGATCCACCGCCGGGACTCTTGAGCGAGGGACTGATCTTGTCCACCGCCGAGTTGGGAAAGAAGGGCGATCGATTCAGCGCCTGGATGAGATTCTGGCGCTGTTGCGGCTCCACGCGCCACAACGAACCCTTGCCCATATTCGGCGCCTTCTCCACTTTCACGAAGCTCTTGTTCAGCGACAGATTGTGACGCACGCTGTTCTTCCAGCCATTCGGTGCCGTCTTGAAGTACGGAAAATGCTGAACAATCCACGCGTAGATCTCCTTCACAGGCAAGGCCTTTTCATTCGAACCCTCGATGGCCATGAAAATCAGGGAGCTGTAAAGAGCAATTAAATATATAGTAAATATAAAATAAATATATATAGTATTAATATATATACCTAAAGCTATATGGCGGCTTGTTATTGGTATGCACTAGCGGATCGTATGGCACGTTATTGGGATGCTTCTGCTTTTGCGGCGTATTGGAACCTGCTCCTCCATTGCCTCCACCTCCAATCACGTTCGAACTGTTATTATAACCATTGGCTCCTCCATTCTTGGCCACCGAATATTGCGGCGTGCTTGTGTGCATCCTTGAGCTGACCACCAGATCGAATTCCTTGAGCGAATCCTCGTTGTCATAGCTGGTATAGCTGTTGGGACTGCGCAGGTTAACTGCTCCAGATCCAGCAGGATTTCCTCCTATTGATCCATTGTGCACATGACTCGTTGGTGGCGGCGGGGAAACGGATAGCTGCAGAGTGCGTGGCTGAATGGAGGTTGTAGATGTGTTACTAGTGCTTCCTGTGGTGTAGTAAGTTCCCGGCAACAGAGCAGCTCCAGTCGGCGTCTCCGGTGAGTTGACATGTGCTGGGGCGGATCTAAAAAGAGGCATTCGATTAGTTTATCATATCTTATAATTTTAAAAACATTAATAAAAGTAAGCCCAGAGAATTTTAGTTACTTTTAAATAAGTTACATTTGTATTTCCTAATTTTCCTTATTTTCTATATTTTTTTTAGATTTCTAAGTCCAGCCATTTTGGCTACCGTTTCAACTTCTCCTTTTTTTGGGTTCTTTTTTTTTACTAGTAATAGATTAAAAAATACTAAATATAAATATACTAAATATACTAAAACCAATGTGGTTTCTATTAATATTTTCCTTATTTTATATAGAATTCTAGTTCCAACTCACATGACATGCGGCGTGCTGGCCACGTGGTTGACAAAGCTATAGCCCGGCGGCAGCAAGGTTGTTGTGGTGACCACAGCCTGCGGTGTCTCCTGGACTCCATGGAGCATCGCCTGGCTGCTGGGCGTAATATTCCCATTGCTATTGCTATTGTTAACCGCTGATGTGGCATAGTTAACCGCCTCGAAGACTGTGCTAAAGCTACTGGCCTTGGGCACTGGACTATTGCCACCATTTACGGCCGCTGTCGAGGATCCCGATCCTGTGGATCCCGTTCCCGATCCCGCATGGCTGGAGCTGCTTATCGAGGAATTGTTCGAGGAGGCCGGCGAGCTGACCACCGTTACGGTGGAGGCCACATGACTGCTGTGATCCATCTGGACGTGCATCTTCTCGCGCAGATACTTTTTGTGCGGATGGTGGGTGGTTGTGTTGCTGGTGGTTGGCGAACTTAAAGCCGGCGTGGCTGCTTTGTAGATGGTTCCTGATCCTCCTCCTCCTGTATTCCCATTGCTGGTCACATAAATCTGTTGCTGTTGCTGCTGCTGTTTGGCGGGCGAGGAGGAGAGTATAGTTGGATTGGCCACGGCAACGGCGGCACTGCTCACCACCACCGGCAAATAGCCATGACTTCTCGTTGGCGTGGGCAAATAGCCCGTCTGCTGCTGCTGCTGCTGCTGCTGATTGGAGGCTGCCTTGCTGGCTTTGTACTCCACCACTGTGGTGGTGCCACTGGCTCCCTTGTGCACCGTTGTGGTGCTGTAGACAGCCGCTGATCCACTCGATGACGCCGATACTCCAACCTCCTGCTGCTGTTCGCTGCTCTCACTCAGATTTGTGGGCAGCTCTTCTATGAAATCGCTCACTATGCAAGCAACTCCTGATCCTCCAGCTGCTACTGATCCTCCTCCCGCCGTCGTCGTCTTAATGGCCACTGCACCACGTTTTCCCGCCTGCCCGGCCGCCGTTGTGGTGGTCACAATGCCCTTGATCAGATTGGTATCGTTGAGCCAGGACAGCGAACGCAGCTCGCCATCATCGCCGTCGGTGGTTCGCACATTGACCAGCGTCTCCGCGGTGCCCATTTCCAGTGGCTCCGCTGCCAGGAGCACTATGTTGCCACCGCCGGGACTTCCCGTCGTCGTCGTTGTCGCCGCAGCAGTGGAACCATCGTAGGCGGTGAAGCCACCATTGTGATTGTGTTGCAGAAATACATATTTCGAGGCACTGGCCGGCATGTTGCTATTGCTTGTTGATATATGTGGTGGTGCTGCTGCTGATGCTACTGATGTGGTGCTGCAGGCGGAGGAGGCGGAGGAGGAGGTGACTGCTGGTGGAGCTGCAATGGTACGGTATCCATGGGCGGCAGCCACTGACGCCGCCGCTGCCACCACAGAAGAGGAGGATGTGGGTGAAGTGGAGGCCACCGCTGCGCCGGATTGCAGATGGCCACGCAGTTGGCTCAAATCGCGGGTGGTCAGCAACTGTGTGGGATTATCTGTGGACATGCTGCAATGGTAAGAAAGGGAAATGAAGAAGTTAGAGACATGTTGGGGGAACTTTTAATTAAAAAGTAAGGTAAACAAATGATAATGGATTTTTTTAGATTTTAATTAACATAAATAATATATTATATAAAAAGAATATATTAAAAAAAATTATAAATTAAAAAAAAGAATATTTTTTTATATTATATGATGCTTTTTTTAGATTTTTATTTCAATCCGTTTTGGTTGATTTTTGCTATTTCCCGGTTTATTTGTATTTGTATGTGTATTTGTATTTTTATATGTTAGTTTTGATGTTGTAAACATAAAAATCTCTTTAAAATATTAAGAATCATTATTATTAAGAAACCAATAACGTTCCAACGTCTTGCTTAGCTAAGAACTGATTTCCAACTCATTAACTCTTAATATATTTATTACTAAATATTTATTTTTATGACTGATCAAACAAAGTGATTAACTATTACATCATTGGGCCAAAACTTGAAGCCAAAAGGCTTTGCACTGAGTCAGAATGTGTAATTCCCCTTGGTTTAAGTTTAAAGCTTAATAGGCAATCCAAAAACCATAGTTATCTGATCTTACATCACAATCAGATACGTATATATGTCATATGGTAATACATCGGTTGTGATATTGGGATATCATTCATTAAAGAATGCGATCATTAAATATTGCCTCATCATTAGGTATGAAATTCCTTGGAAATAACTTTTGGTGATCTGCCGGCAATTTCAAGCCAAGTTTGTATTTTTAGCCAAGCCCAATGATGAAATGATGATCTAATGATTGACTGATGAAATGATCAATTTGCACTGCACTTTGTTTTGTTTGTTTGGTCATCAAATTGGTTGTTCGTGAGTTAAAAGCGCATAATTATTTCATTTTTTATTGCTGTTCAATGTCCTTCGCCATTTTTATTGCATACTTTACGGGGCATTTCCAGGGGATAGGTGATAGGGGATAGGCACCCCCTATCTATAAGGCTTTTCCTCATTTTACGCAATCGAAGACATATTTTCTTTCTTTTTTTTTCTGTTGTTCCATCTAATTTACGCGTGTTTGCTTTTTGTGGCATTTTTATGACGGCAACAGCGTGGTTGGCACCACTTCACCTGCTCTCTTTCTCAAATACTCAACCCGTCTCCCTCTGTTCTTCGTAGCCCCCTCTCTTTCCGACATTTCTGTGCGGATTATCTTATCAGTGTTTTCTGTATGCGGGTGCTGTATATGTACCTTCCCTTAAAGTTTCACACTCAAGTTATTTCCTTCCAACTAATGATTATAGTATGGTATAGTATGGCGTTCTCAATGATTCTACTTTAATTGAATGAGAGTCCAAAGATCAGTGATCGATAAATAGTTTAATACAAACTCAGGAGCGACCTTTAATTAAGTAAACAGAAAGTTTAAAGATCAATGATCGTCTTTCTGATAAATATTATTTCTTTCAGTTATTTAGATATTTCAAAAAACTCTGATTATCGGTTTCAAAGATCGATCATCGATCGATAACCAATGTAATCGGTAATGTAATCATCACTTATTCATCCATTCAGTCGTCTACTCATTTACTCATCAAATGCCATTACATCGAAGGCAATTAACTTTAATATTCATTTCGCCCAAGGGACAACATGTATTTGTTGTTGGGCTCTGGCCAACCGAACGCTAAACGCTGGTTAAACAGAGAGGGGGCGAGCGGTAAAGGGGGTGGGGTGTGGTGCAGCCAACAAAGTGTATTATTATTTATTGATTTTCATTTGAGGCAGTCACATCAGGAATAACTACGGAAACTAACGAAAAGTCAACAATAGAAATGTCCAAGAAGCAAATTTACTTTTACTAGTTTATACAGTGGAGCTCCAGTAGGGGAGATCTTAGATTGCATTTTAATGCGTTTGCTATTTTTGTAATATTTGACAATATCTAGATTTAATCACCTAAGAACCAAAGATAATATTTTAATATTTTAATTCCGATTTAAGCATAGAACACTTCAATAAATATTTGTATTTTTAATATTTATTTATTAATTAAATTGTTTAAATTCAAGTGTTTTTTACTTGAGAAAATAAACTTTCAATATAAATGTAGCAATTTAATTCATTTAAAATCCCTTCAATAGAAGCTGTACTGTATTTCCTTTTTCTTCTTCTTGCGCTAACCTACCTTATTATTACCCATTGTTTTGCATGTGCAAAAAGTAAGGCAAAAAGGGGGGCAAAAAGGGGGGCAAAAAGGGGGGCAAAAAAGGAGGGCCAAAGAGACAAAGAGGGGGAGAACGAGAAGAGGGTGAAAAGTACGCGCCACAACAAAACCGTAACCGTAAATGCCAAAAACACAACAAACGCGACGAGAACGAAACGCACGAGCCACAAAAACAAAAACAGAAAAATAAAAGCTCCGCTGACCTCCAACACGGGCAGCGCTGTTGACGTCGACGTCATTACACTGGCCGTCCAAACAAATAGTACAGCCTGGTATTTATTTATCATTGTACACAGAAAAAAAAGCAACTTTGTGAATTTGCTAATATTTTAAATGTTTTCTGACTAAAATGCAGACATTACATATTTTTTAAAATATTTGTTAATTTTTTAAGCATCAATTTTAAGAATTGGGTTCAATTCAATACATTTCTTATCATCATCTATTATTTTTAATTTTTGTGTAAAGTCTGGAATTCGTTTATAGTAGCAACAACGACGCAATTTTGTTTTCTTTTTTTTCGAAAGTCTACTCGTTGTCTTGGCAACTTTTTATTGTGCCTTTTTCTATATATGTATATATATATATATTTTTTGTATTTTTCCAACAACAACAAAATCATAACAAGACGCGTACGAATATTTTATTTTGCAGCGTCGCAAGAGAGCGGCAGAAAACAAAAAATAAAGAGAGAGAGAGAGCAAAAACAACGTGTTTGAGATAAGAGGAAGATAACTGGGGTTGGGGGAGGTGGTTTGGGGTGGTGCGTTTCCTTTGACATAATTAATTAGCAAATATGGCCGCATGGCGACAGCAACAACAACAACAATAAGAATGGAAGAAGCAACAGCAATTTTTGGACAATGCAACACTGTAAAAACTCTCCATCGAAAAATGCCGATACATATGCGCTCTCTCTTTCTCTCTATCAGTCCGGTGAAAGGCTCTCTCTTTTTTGAAACATTTCTCTTGACTTTGTTTATCTCTGTTTTTGTTGTTTTCCAAAAGAGAGACAGAAAGAGACTGTCAGAGAGGTAAAGCCACGCATTTGTTTTTGAGCCGCTATTTCGGTTTGTCGTTACAGTAGAACTTGACCATTACAAAACGATCAATTTAAAGATTTCAAATGTAAATTTAATTAAATTTAATAAATTAAAGTGATTCTCTTAGGAAATATGTTTAATTCTTCATTTTTACAATAAAACTTTGAAAGTTCAAATCTTTGTAGTACACAAAATTAATTTTAATGAAAACAATTTTTTTTTCCTCCTGCACATTTTTCTTTTTTACATTCAAAAAGCTGTCATTCCTTAGAGCGTGCACTGTAAACGTTTTGAGATTAGTTTTGTGTTCTAGAAACGTCAACGTCACCGTCAAAATTGCTCTCTGGTTAGCTTTTTAGCTTTTTGGCTATGACCTGCGGACTTTTCTCCGGCACCGAGCTCCTTTAAATGTCAACCGAGACCCCCTAAACATCCATTACAACCCACCCACCCACCGAAAAAGGGAGAAAGAGAGTGCAGGAGAGGAGAGTGCAAGTCTTGCATTTGGGTCTTTTCTTCGGCAAGCCAATTAACAGGCAAAAAAAAACACACACACAAAAAACAGCGGTAACTGTACCTGAGCAAACTGCTTGCTAAAAAACAAAAGCCAAACAAAAAAAAAGAATAGAAAAAGTAGAAAAGCAGCCACGCTGCTAATGAAACGCCATGAAACTACTGAGGAGAACATGATTATGATGATATGATGGTGATGGAGGAGGATGAATCATCCAGATATATGATATATACTAAAGTGTGCACAAATGCGGCACACGGATGCTTATGAGCGTGTCAAAAAAATAATCGTAAGGGAGCCACTTTAGCAGCGAATAAAACCACCGACTAGCAAGTGGAGTTAAACTAAGTCATGGTATTTGGTAGTCCAAACTAAATGATACCCTTTAAATTGTGGAAATATGAAGAAGCTGAAATAAATGATGCTAATTCTAGTAAACAAAATTAAAAAAATATAAAATAAAATGTATTATAAATATTGAAATAAATGGTAGTCAAAACTTTATGTTACCCTTTAAATTGGGGAATTATTAAAAAATCGAAAATAGAGCAATAATAAATATAATACAAATTCAAAGCACTACCATTTTCTGCAAAAAATAAACTTACGATAAACTAAATAAATATTAAATTTCTTCACAGTTCACTAAGATACTATTAAAGTATATAATTTCCTGAGAACATCAACCCTTTTTCCGCTTAAATTTCCTGACCCACATATCGTTGTTTACCCAGGTTTTTTTCACCAGAAATTCCCATTGATACCCTCGAAACGGTAGAAAAAAAATGAAAACCTCGTGGAGTAATCAGCGTGCGACTGACGACTGACTGGTTCAATAATAATAATACTACACACAAACAAACAAATAATTGACAGCAGCCAGCATGTTTTGTTTTTCTTGCTGTTGTTGTGAAAATTGTCGCCCAATTGAAAAATGCCAGTGGGGAAAATGGGGAAAAATCTATGGAAAAAATGTTAAATGAGTTGTTTCCTCTTTTAATAAAAGTAATACGAACAAAAAATAAAGTAGACCAAGAGATGAAAAAAAAGTAGGTATATGGAATATTAAAATACAAATAAATAAATGCTAAAGAGAAAGGAGACAAGAAGCCGGCATTTCTCCCTCTCTCTTTTTCGCAATGTTGTTGTTTCTGAATAAAATATGATTGTAATTGCCTTTAATTACAGCGCTTTGTTTGTTTGTCTTTCCCTCTCCTTTTGTACTACTGTTTAAAATAAAATATACAATAAACAATAGGCAAAATATTGCAACAGCTTTCAATACAAAATTTCACGTAACAAAGAGAGAGAAAGAGAAAAAGCTTTTGCATACTTCCGGCCATCAACAAAAACATAGAAGGCAAAAAGCTAAAAAAAAAAAATACGAATATATATATATGTATGTAATAAAAGCGAGTAAAATAGCGAAAAAGGAAAAGCAGCAGCAGCATTTTTTGAGAGAACTTATTGCTCTCTCTTTCATTGTGTTTCTCGAATCGCGCTCTCCCTTTCTCTCGCACTTGATGAAATATAAACAAAAATGTCTGAAATTCATACAAATAACAGAGAACAAAGGTTAATTAAAAATGCTTCTTGAAATGTAACATTTGTGAAAATGTTTATTATAGACAATGGCGAATTTGATTTTTTGAGTTTGAGAACTTTTAACAACGATTGGAGGAAATTTGATAACTATTTATTCGAA